AGCAAAGGGTCTGAATATTTAGGACCATGTGATATTTCAGTTTTTCTTTTTTAATAAATCTGCAAAAATGTCAACAATTCTGTGTTTTTCTGTCAATATGGGGTGCTGTGTGTACATTAATGAGGAAAAAAAATGAACTTAAATGATTTTAGCAAATGGCTGCAATATAACAAAGAGTGAAAAATTTAAGGGGGTCTGAATAATTTCCGTACCCACTGTATATTACATTTAATGTAACGTAAATGTACACTTTATTTTAAATCACCTTGTGAGAAGGCATCTGCAAATAACATAATATTTTAGAAATTCTACTTGCTCCATAATGGCATTTATTCTTCAAGATCTGGGTTATTGGGAAAAAAAGTAAGCGCTCATGGTGGTCTAACAGAAAAAAAATCGAACTGTTTATTTTGGGTTAAAATATTGCGTTAAAGTTAGTGTAAGCTTTGTTTTACAATGAATGACTTTTTCAAATTGGACCTGGTTGGGGACTTTACTCTAACCCAATGTTATTGTTTTTGTCTCGTACAGTTTGTGAAAAGGATGTCCTAACTGTGTGTACCAACTCATCTCATGAGCACATACATCCCTTCAAGGAGAAAATGGAATCTTTCAATGCCAACGGTGAGCTATGCTAAGATGCGTGAGATTAGCCCCCATTACCTTTTACAAGAGGATCTGTAGTTTTTAAGTCTTCTATTCTTCAATCCCTCTCATCTACCTTGTTCAGATATGAAGTCTAGTTGGTCTCTGAGGCGACCTGCCTCTCTAGATGATTGATGGAAAGAGTACAAAAGTTTGCTGAGATTGTATACAGGATTGTTTTGTTTTGCAGGTCATAGAGGCAGATATTATGGAGATATAAACTTGCTGTCATTTACTGCAGTACAGCTGGACAAGACAACACTAGCTGTAGTGAACTAGACAAATAATATTTATTCTGTTTGTAGTTTATGTATATATTTATATACATGTTTATGTTAAGTACATAGCACCAAAGCGTTTCCTTTCCTCACTACAATCTCTGCTACACAGATAAGACGGCACACATCCTGCAGTCATGAAGAATATCTGCCATGTGCCCTTTTGGGGACCTGATAAGTGTCTGCGACTCCGTACCTGTACGAGATAGCTGGTCAGGTTCAGAAGACAGACGCAGAGATAGGAATCAGTGAGACTTTGGCAATGGAGGAGACTTCTTAGTAAAGGAGTTTCAACATTGTCTTTGAGGCCCTTGTAGAAAGGCTATGAATAATATGACAATAATGCTGTTTGTAGTATGACTGACAGAGCAGTGCATTATCGCTGTTAAAGAGGTAATAGAAGAGATATTGGCTCTTGATATTGACTGTGGTACTGATTATGATATAATCTAAACGCAAATGTCCTAATTGGCTAATTGTTGATATACATTTTCATTTTACAGCACAAACAGAGCTAATTACTGTGGAACATCAAGTGATATCGGCACGTAAAAGGTAGCACGTCACTCTTGGTCCAAATATTACAAAAAATGCAAACTTCATAAACATTTTTGACATTATCTCCAGCTTTGCCCCATGTCTTTCCTTCCTCAGCTTCTCTGACCTAGTGGAGTACTTTGGACTGAAGCCACGTTCCGGAGAGCAAGAGATTGTGCCTGGCCATGTTTTCACACTTTGGTTTGAATTCTGCAATGATTTCAAGATCAGATGGAAGAGAGAGAACAAGGTCATATCCAAACAGAGGTGAGACGTTAATAGCATCGTAAATGAGAATCTATAGCATCATAATTTGTGCTTTACTACTGCTCTGACCAACCGCACAGTGTGATAACCTAGTTAATGGTAACTTATTCACTGGCAGTTGTTGTTTTTAGTGAATTTCAGCATTAAAACATTTGAAACATTATATTACGGTTATGTAAAATACAATCTGTGCTCTTTTTGTCTTCAGAATCAAAGAGGCCCAACATTCAGTGCGCAACATGACAGCAGAGAAGAAGATTGAGACCAGACAGGCACATGTGAAAGGACTGGTAAGAGTTTGCCTTCATCCTTGCTTGCTGAGGTGTGGGTGGCAGATAGATAAGTGGTTCAAAGACTAGTGACTATTGTACTTTAATGAATCAGGTTTTTAAAACCTTTCTGACTCTTATTAAAGGAATAGTTCACCCACAAAATGAAATATTGCTGAAAATTTACCCTCAGGCCATCCAAGAAGTAAATGAGTTTCTTCATCAGAACAGATTTGGAGAGCTTTATCATTACATCACTTGCTCACCAGTGGATCCTCTGCAGTGAATGGGTGCCGTCAGAATGAGAGTTTAGGCAGCTGATAAAAACATCACAATAATCCACACGACTCCAGTCCATCAATTAATGTCCTGTGAAGTGAAATGCAGCGTGTTTGTGAGAAACAAATCCATCATTAAGACTGTCGCTTCCGACCATAATCCATAAAGTTAAAAGTTTAAAGTTAAAACGCCTTAATATTTAATTTGTTTATTACGGACAGCTTTTCACTTCACAAGACTTTAATTGAAGGACTGGAGTCATGTTGATTACTTGTGGATTATTGGGAAGTTTTTATCAGCTGTTTAGACTCTCATTCCGCTGGCACCCATTCACTGCAGAGGATCCATCGGTGAGCAAGATGCAATGATAAACTTCTTCAAATCTGTAGAAACACGGTCAAGTACAACTTGGATGGCCTGGTTCAGTAAATTTTCAGAAAATTTTCATTTTGGGGTGAACTAGTCCCTTATACTACGAAATGCATGCACAGCTAAATGGGACTTCATAATGATGCATGTTTCTGCATATTTCAGAAAGAGAGATTGCGTCTTAAAGAAGCAAGTCTGACCACCAGCTAACCCCCTCTGCCATTTCCAAAGAGGACCAGATACATTTATATTTAAGACCCAGGCACTTGCATTTTTGGCAGGGTCAGAATGAAGTGCACCTGCTTGTGTGACACTTTTCCACCAGAATGCAAGTTAGAGGATGATAGTCTTTCAGTGTAGTGGATCCTGTGTATAACCCAACAACAAATCACTCACCAAAAATACCTTTGACCATGTTTCAGATATGAATGTTCAAAATGAGAAACATTTAAGAAATGTTTATATTGCAAGTTAGCTCGATCTGTTCTGGGATTTTCACCAGTCTAAACAATTAAGGGTTGAAAAAAGCATTCCCGATATTTGACTTGGAAAAGGCAGTAACTTTATTTTGTATATTGAGTAACAAAGTTGAGTAACTTTTTATGATCATTAAATCAATACAGAATATTACAAAACAAAGATAATGTACATGTGAAAAAATATAATATTAAACTAACCTATCAGTTTTATTTTGATAAACATCATGTTTTTATTGATGACAGTTATGTTGCTTCACATCTTATTGCCATTTAATCACAGTAATATTGTTCCTTTTACACTAAATGCAACACTGTAAAAAGTTTTCATTAATACAAAAACTATTTTCCATGCATCTAACTTATTTTCTGTAATGTTTGTTCACCAAGATTTTCAAACGTCACAATAATCCACACGACTCCAGTCTATCCATTAATGTCCTGTGAAGTGAAATGCAGCATGTTTGTAAGAAACAAATCCATCATTAAGACCGTCGCTTCCGACCATAATCCATAAAGTTAAAAGTTAAAACTTTTAAGATTTTATTGTAATGTTTGTTTGTTCACCTAGATTGTCTTCATCAATTGATTAAAAAGGCTGTAACTTGACACCACCTTCTTTTTACATTGCAGTATTGTATAAAAAACCAGGAATAAATATGATGGAATGGATTTGGGGGGGAAACTTGCTTATTTACACCCATAGCCTAATATGTAGGCTATGTAATGTATCCTATATTACAAATCAAGCCACAAAACAAGCTATTTGCATCAATGCGCAAATTTTGCTCCACACAGTGGAGAATAATATAAGCATATTTTTAATGTCACTATTTTATAGTATTATAACTTATCCAACTTGTTGTAGCCTACATTTAATTGCATCAGTTGTATTTCTTCACAATATAAAGGACACATTTTGATGACTGGAGAACTAATGGAGGAAACAAATCGGTCATGCTCCTACATTATTCAGCTATAGGAATGTGTGACTTTCAGACAAACATACAGAAGTAGCCTACAACAATGACGTCAGCAAGTTTAATCCAAGTCGACAGAAGTACAGCGGCACTGTTTCACGCGGCGCACGCGCTTCTTCTTGGTGCTGGGAGTTTGCCCGGGACAGATGAGCGTGTAAGTCACGGTAGTGAAACTCTTTGGCTTACACACGGAGCACGACTGAAACGCACTGTCCTCTTGATAAACGTGCCGAGGGATGTAGAAAGAGTTGCACTGTCCGTAACAAAAGCGGTTGATGATGGCGCGCGGCTGGCACCCGTCCTCGTAGATCATCAGTTTCAGCGGCTGCGTTTTACACCAGTCAAGTTTGAGGTAACGGCGCTCCGTTATGTGTAAAGCCTCCTGACTGGAGTCCAATACCTCGTCCCCGACTGAAGGTGGTCCCGTTCCCCTGGAACTGGCCTGCGGTGTCTGTTCCGACTGGTTTGGGCTGTATTTATTTGGGTGAGGAATGGCGCCTTGAAACCCCCCGGTTCCCCTGATCCTCGCCGGATTGCAGAGCAGCCACAAGACCACGATAGTGACAGCTAGTGCGTCTTTAGTCATCCTTTCACATGAAGAAAGAAACCTAACATTAAAGGTAATCAAATATACAGTAATATAGGCTATATATGTTTAAATAAAAAAATAGAAATGTAAGGGTTTTTTATACAAATATGCCATATTATTTTATCAAAACATTTCATTTATAAAATGAACAACTTCCAAACTTAAAATATTTCAAAGCATATAAGGTTCATTTAAACATTTCCTACTAATTCATTTTCGGTAATTTGGTTTAAAAAAAAAAAAAAATTCACAAAAATCACACAGATGTGATTTGAAAATATATATACAGTATATTCCATATGCAGACTTACCTCAGATTAATAATGGTTCAAACTTCTTCACATGGACTGGAGCTATGTTCACAAAGGTCTTTGTATACCATAACAAACTATGGTTAAAAATAGGTTAAACCAAATGATCCAGAACTCTGAGTCCGAGTCAAAATAAGGTCTGGAGCTCTGTTCTGAGTGCTGACATTTAAAGAGAATGGGGCAGTCCACGCCTCCTCTATCATTCACAGCATTTTAGGGATGGTCCAGTGCTTTAAGAGAGTAAGGAACTTCATGATGAATGCATATTGTGAAGTTTGTAATTTAGAAGAATCATGAAGTTAAAAACACATGTCTCGAAGTTTCTGCACATGAACATATACAACATTTTTATTTGATTAAATGTTATTACAACAAAAGTTGTGCCAAGAGAATAATCATTCATTTTACCGTCATCCTTTGCTGCTATTAATAATATGATTAATTTGAATATCACACATAATTTAATGCTGACTTTACTGTGAAACTGTTAAGATTTTCATTGTACAGATTTGATAAATAACACGATGTTTAGGTCTTGATATTGCTTGTAGCAGTTTCAACCTCATCTTCCTCTGAGAAATGTGGCACTGATTTCTTGGCCACCACGTTATCCAGCCTCTGTCCCATCAGATATGGATTTGTACTCTGAAACACATTCAGTGACACATCCTGTGACATTTTTTCTGAAAATGCAACATGTATATGCAACAGTGCTCCATCTAATAGTTCATGTGTTGGGCGTCTGCTGACAAAGAATCAACCAAAAGGCATAGAAAATTATATTCATTGCTTACCCTTTTTCTTCGTTTTGGTCCACCCTTCAGTTTTTCATACAACAGTCCTTTATTCTGAAAGAATGAAAATAGATATTTAGTGCAGTCTGCTACAGACCAGAATCTTGGGCTATTTTGCTTCATGTTTCACACTGCTCATAATTTTTCCGGGTTAACAATTAATCCTGTATATTCAAAAGATGAAATTTCACACTGAACATTACTAAACCTCACGTTAACGTTCTTAGCTGCATATTGGCAGTGTCGATGTCACTGTTTGGACAAACGCAGCATGCTACCTGTTTACATAATAGCGCTAGCATTGCGCATCCTCATACTATATATTGCTGACAGTACTATAAAGTTTTAATGAATGGACTTTTCGGATTATAAAGGTAACTATGAAATGGTCTCTTCTTTACTCCAGTTTACATGTTTTCCGTCATCATTTGAACTTTGACATTTCCTTTACACGGGGTTAAAAGCGTGGGTTTACAACAACGATAATCAGGGGTTAAGTGCGGTGTGAAAAGCCCTTAAATGATTCAGTCATTTTATTTAAATGAAAAATCAGAAGTCTCCTCCAACCTGTGTCAAGTGTGAACTCACCCACTTCGCCAGTGCAGGGTAGTCATGCTCGGGGTCAAAGAGGTGCTGATGTTTCTGGAATTCTCGACTGAACTCTGCAGTGTCTGGAGAGTTCTCTAAACATCCATCAGCAGCTATAAAAACATCACATTTTTTAAACAAAGAGAGGGATGTACCCCATTCTCTGTGAATGTTTAGAGCAGGGTTGGGCACCCCTGGTTTAGACCATTCAAAAAGTTTAGAGTTGTCATTCCTTTGGGAGAATATGGTAAACACCTACAATCTAATCAAATATTGTACACATTTTCTTTGCCTCAAAAAAATGATTCCTCTTTCGATTAATCAAAGTGAATGGTGGCACCACTATATATTTGAGCATTCAATTGCACTTGGATCAGCATACCAGTCTTTCCAAGGGGGCAAGGATTGGGAGGGTCAGGGTAGCCATGGTCCTCGCTGAAGTCTTTGGGAACACTGTCTCCAGTTAACTCTGCGACAATGTTAGGGATGTTCCCATATGGCCCGAGATGTTGGAGTCCCTCATGGGCACCACCTATTGGACAAAGTCTAAAATTACACCTGAAGGCAACCACACAATGAGGAATATTATAAGGACAACCTATTAATCTCAGTGATCATTTACATTTTTTTAAAAACGTGCAATTGCCAACAATGAGAAACTCTTACCTTGGATGCTGAGTGGACCGACTATGTTGGTGGCCTGATGCGCGGGATACTCGACCCTGGGCCGCGCGATTCCCAGCTGCTCCATCACACCGTGAAGCAGGCGCTGGATATCCGCCTCCGACACCGGATCCACCGTGCGTGGACTGCGGCCAGAAACGACGGCCATCGAGCTTATGATGACACTCAGAAGAACCGTGTGTGTCATTTTCGGAACCGAACCCATCGTTGACGGTCACTAAACACCGACAATTAACACAACATAGTGGAAAATTACTGCTGCGCCTTATATGTATGCTAAAACGGCAGCTTTGAATAAAAATATTCATTGTTTTTAATATTTTATTTATTTAAAAGTTAATGTAGAAATTGGGTTATAAAGCTAAAGCTTATTTTCTATAGATATTATTGAGCTCGCGCATTCCTGATTGTAACTACGTCACAAGTGCACAGACTTCATAAAAACATATGCCGTTATTTTACAAGCGCAAGTTAAGAAGCACATTCTTCGTATTTCAGCTAAACTGAAATCCAGCGTGTTGTAACCATATAAAATAAACAGCTAACCAAATTTAAAGCGATAACCTACCATGTAATCCTGTCTGATAAAGAGGTTGTCGGGTTCAACACAGATGCCTTCCTCCTCCTCTTCCTCCTCTTCCTCTTCCTCGCTTCATTTGCTCTGTTGCCAAGCAGCCGAATCATCTCACCTCCACAAATGATCACTGGTTTACGCAATAACCAGCACATAGCCGTTAAAACGTGCTGCTGTAATTTATTGGGAACGGTAGAAGGACAAAGTATAAGGAATATATAAGGAAGGTGTTAAAAATGATATAATAAATGTACATTCTAAGTGAGGTGTGTCGTGTCCATAGTCCGGGAATGTTATGGACCTGTCAGATTAATCGAATTATAATAGTTTAACGTCTATGCAAATATAGACGTGTTTTTTTTGACGTGCATGCAATTCACTCCTCATTACTAATAATATAACCAACAGCAATGCTTGAAAGTAATTCTAATAATTTCCCTGGTAGTCTCTTCTCTGGAACAGGCCTGAATGGACTATGTTATGTACGGAGCGTTCTTTAGAATTTGCAGCTGGTAAACTAACCTCTCCTGCCTCGTTCTTTTCAGAAATTGAGAAACAAATTGTACATAGACACGTAATTGTACATTTAAATGCTTACAACAACTTAACACTATCCTTACTATTTAAGCTAGCTAGCGATGCTACCTTGTAAACGACATCATAATGGTGTTCTTGATCATCAATAACTTACTTCATAGTCATGAATATAACTGAATATGTACACAGGGTTGCCAACTTTGGTTGTCTGGCTGGCTGGCTGTAATGAGTTACAGTTGTGCAGTAAAATTCACATTAAAGATTCACTTCACTCATTCATGCTGATGACATTAAATAAATGCGCCAAAAATGTATCTCCTGGCAGGAAACAAAGAAAATGAAGAATTAAGCCCAGACACCAACAGTCTCGAAGGGTTAATTAGTTAAATACTTAACTAATTAACTACAAATTAAATAAGTTAATTATTAATGTTATAACAATTAAATAATAATGCATTCAATATTTTTTAATATATTTAGATTTCATTTAAAAACACATTTTTTTTAAGTTTTATCTTTAACTGTAGAAAGCTGCTAAAGTTTTCTTACCCTGAATTTAGTCTGAATCACTTAATGCACAGGTTTATTTTTTACATCGGCTTGTCAGATAGTTCATTCCATCCATTGCCATCACTTATTCCACATAACCTACCTACATGTACAATTTTGAGAAGGTTTTTTTTTTTTTTTTTGTCTAATGCTTTTTTAAAAATCTACTAATAGCTAATATCATTTGGGATCAAACTGACAATAAATAGCTTTTGATGAGGAAACATGGAAAAGTCTGTATCTGTCAGCTGCAACTTCTTCACCAAATACTCAAAGACAAAACACAATGCGAGCCAAAAATACTGTTACACATCACAACTTTTATTACAACATTCATTACATGTATATACAGCATGGCTTGTCAGATAGTTCATTCCATCCATTGCCATCACTTATTCCACATAACCTACCTTCATGTACAATTTTGAGAAGGTTTTTTTTTTTTTTGTCTAATGCTTTTTAAAAAATCTACTAATAGCTAATTTCATTTGGGATCAAACTGACAATAAATAGCTTTTGATGAGGAAACATGGAAAAGTCTGTATTTGTCAGCTGCAACTTCTTCACCAAATACTCAAAGACAAAACACAATGCGAGCCAAAAATACTGTTACACATCACAACTTTTATTACAACATTCATTACATGTATATACAGCATAAAGCACAGTACAAATGCATACGGAGGGTTAGTTGGATTAAACTGAGGAGGATTTGAGGTTTAGAAGCACTTCCTGTGGACGATGGAGGGACCTGCCTCATCATACTCTTGCTTGCTGATCCACATCTGCTGGAAGGTAGACAAGGAAGCCAGGATGGAACCGCCAATCCAGACCGAGTACTTACGTTCAGGGGGAGCAATGATCTAGAGGACAAACACAAGAACATGAATGTAGTTAGACTACAATTACAGCTATAAAAGAAACAAGCTCATTTAGTTGGAAGGACGTTTACCTTGATCTTCATTGTGCTGGGGGCCAGGGCTGTGATCTCCTTCTGCATACGGTCAGCAATACCAGGGTACATGGTGGTACCACCAGACAGGACGTTGTTGGCATACAGATCCTTGCGGATATCAATGTCGCATTTCATAATGCTGTTGTAGGCCGTCTCATGGATGCCAGCAGACTCCATACCTGTGAGGAGCAACATTGCAAGCTATGTCAGCAAGGTAATAATTGTGATGTAAAGACAGCAACATGGGTTAATGCAATAAGGTGAAATACCAATGAAAGAGGGCTGGAAGAGGGTCTCAGGACAGCGGAAACGCTCGTTTCCAATGGTAATGACCTGGCCGTCGGGCAACTCATAGGACTTCTCCAGAGAGGAGGAAGACGCAGCAGTAGCCATTTCATTCTCAAAGTCCAGAGCGACATAGCACAGCTTCTCCTTAATGTCACGCACAATCTCACGCTCAGCTATGGACGAAAAGAGAGAGT